AAAACAGAGGCTGGAGAGTTTAGACACATTGCTCAGAATCACAAAGGTAGTACACAGAGAATGAAATATCCTTTCTAAAAAGTCTGCTTAGTGATTTTAACAAAAATGCTGTTGCTTTCCTGCTTCTTAAGTTTACATTTAAAGGACTCATTTTTATCAGTTCTACTGTTAATATTTAAATGAAAGTAAAATATAAATTCAGAATAGCTCTGTCTGGGAGATAAGAAAGGAAATACAACAGTACTTCATTCTTAACCATTCTCACACTTCTTATATATAGTCTATTATATGTATGATTTATTATATATAATAGATTTGCCTCTTTTATCATAAGCAGAAAGTTAACTTGAAAAGTAAAAAGAGATGACACTTCTGCAACATGGAATGAGTGAATTTCTTCTGTATTTTTGATCTTAAGATTTTTGGAGCTGAAGTAGATATGCATTTTTAAGTGACTTTGCTACTTTAGACAGCCTTATAAATGGCAGAATGGAAAAGTTCACTATAAATTTTCATGAGCTCTGGCACTTTCAAAAAATTATGGACGTGGTACAACATTTTATTTTGACTGACAGTATAATGTTGCTATAATAAAAATTCCTGTCAACTTGTTCTCTCCTGAAATGCCTGAAGCCCAACAGTTTAAGTGTCAGATTAAAATATGTGATGGAGAGAAGAAACCAATCTGCACGTCCCCTCTTTATAGCAAGGGAAACAGGATGGTGCCAGCATCACATGGGATTTGTTTATAAGAAGTTTGTTTTCATAATTATAAGAATGGGTTGTTTGATGCTTTAACGATGCCCTCTATTTTTGTTACAGTTTTCCTCTGGATAACTCCTTTCCATGTCAGATGAGTGAAGTTCAGAGATTTATGTAAATTCTCAGTTATCCAAATATTTCCACTAGGAACTAGGCTTCAGCCATATGAGTTAGTATGAGGCTGACCTACTTTGACATCACTTATCTAAATGATATTCAGCTTAAAAATTCATCTCTATAGGCTCCAAGTTTTAAGTCTCAAGCTGTTTTTTCTTCTAAAAGATCTGTTTCTGCCCATGCATTTTCTTCCAGTGCCAAATGTGTGTTTGCACCTTTCTTGTCTCCTATTGGATAATTCTGTTTCAAAAATGAAAGTCCTCCCACAGTACTGCTCTCTTACTGCCCTGTGCAGCTAGCTGCCTTCTCCCCTCCCCTCAGCTTATATAGTTTTATCCTTTAAAACAAAACAAAACAAAACAAAAATCATTTCCCAACTCTCTTTCCTCATGTCCTCTCCTTCCTCTGTCAACTTCCTCGAATAACAGTCCAGATCTATTCCTTCATTTCTTTACTTCCTGCCAACGGGCTTCTATCTTTAAGACCATATGGCATTCTTGAAGACAATAACTTCCTGGCTGTCATGTCTTCTGATTTTTTTTTTTGGTACAACCTACAGGATATCTCACCTTAAAACCTTCCTCTTTCACCTGGATGACATTCATATGTCCCTTGGTTTCTCTAGCACTGTGCTTTTTCCTAACACTAGTGCTTGCTGTGCTACCCTTCCCAAGGGTCATCACTTTCTTCTAACTCCTGACCCATAGGGATCATTTGGATTCTCAACACTGGCTATACATTAGACATTACTGTGGTAGTTTTTAAATAATACAGTTATTTGGACTTTTCCATGTCCCCACTTAGTCCAGGAGCAGAAAGCTGGAATATATGTGTGTATATATTTATTGAAGAACTCCTATGGTAATTCTGGCACAGAGCCATGGTTGCAGGTGTTCATCAAGGATCTATAACCTTTCCTCACCTCTCTGTCCTTTGGCAATTTTGTGGCTTCTGGCCTTACATATTATTATGAAGGTAATCATTCTGTAGTTCTGAATTACTGCAAGAAAAAAGAGTCTGTGCCACATTTGGGAAAGATCAAATACTCAGATCCTGTAAGTTTCATTTACTTATAATTGAAACTTAGGTAGTTCTGCCTCCATTTGAAAAAGTTTTCTGCAGGAACACAAGCTGGTCCTCCTCACACTTCATGTGGAAGAACTTGCTCTCACCTACAGGAGACAGTAGTCCTCAAGTCTCTGCACATACCACTATTAGAAGTATTTTTTAAAAAACAAAAGAATGCCTGGGCTGCATCTTGAACTTGATTTGGTAGGTCTGCATGAGCTCTACAACTACCTTGTCCATTACAGGCAACAACAGTCACATATGGCTATGGAGCACTCAAAATATGGTTATTCCAAGGTGAGATGTGCTGTAAGCATAAGATTCACACCAGATTCCAAAGACTTATTACCAAAAGAATAATTCGAATTATCCCATTAATAACTTTTTTATTGATTACATGTTGGAATATATGTCCCACTGGTGAGCTCATATATATATGGAATATAACAGTGGTTTGCATTGTACAAGGGTACTTCAATTTGTGGGATATGGAATTAAAAGATGAGTTTAGGGATGGACATCTGACCTAGCAGCTAAGATGCTGGTTAAAATGCCTATGTCCCACATGAGAGTACCTGCGTCTGATATTCCCTCTGGTGCCTGAACCCAGCTTCCTGCTAATACAGATTCTGGGAGGCATTGGTGCTGGCTCTAGTAAGCGGGTTACTGCTACCCATGTGGGAATCCTGGATTGAGTTCCTCTTGCCCAGGACCATTGCAAGCATTTGGGGAGTGAACCAGAGGATGGGAGCTCCCTCTATCTCTCTTATGGACTCAATTAATTTGAAAAAAATAAAAACACATTAAAAAAGATAAAAATTTATTTTGGTGTGAAAAATCTTGAAATCCATACACACAAAGCAGGGGTAGGGAACCTTTTTTCTGCAAAGGGCTCTTTTGATATTTAAAATATCATTTGCAGGCCATACAAAATTATCAACTTAAAAATTAACCCGCTATAGATTTATTTAATGTGAAACCCTTCCTACAGTTGGGGGGTTAGACCAAATGATTTTGTGCACTTTATGGAGCCTGTGGGCTGGATGTTTCCTACCCTTTAATAAAGGGTTTGCATAAAATTCACAAAGGGGCTGGCGCTATGGCATAGTAGGTTGTTAGGCCTATGCTTGCAGTGCCAGCATCCCATATGGGTGCCGGTTTGAGTCCCAGATGCTCCACTTCTGATCCAGCTCCCTGCTAATGCACCTGGGAAAGCAGTGGAAGATGGCCCAAGTGCCTGGGTCCCTGAACCCACCTGGGAGACCTGGAGGAAGCTCCTGGCTTCTGGCTTTGGCCTGGCCCAGCTCCAGCCTTGCAGCCGTTTGTGAAGTGAACTAGCATATGGAAGATATTTTTCTCTCCTATCTCTTGCCTTTCAAGTAAATAAAAAACATCTTTTTTTTTTTTTCTTTTTTGACAGGCAGAGTTAGTGAGAGAGAGAGAGAGAGAGAGAGAAAGAGAAAGGTCTTCCTTTTTCCGTTGGTTCACCCCCCCAAGTGGCTGCTATGGCCAGCGTGTTGCGGCCAGCGCACTGCGCCGATCCAAAGCCAGGAGCCAGGTGCTTCCTCCTGGTTTCCCATGCGGGTACAGGGTCCAAGCACTTGGGCCATTCTCCACTGCACTCCCTGGCCACAGCAGAGAGCTGGACTGGAAGAGGAGCAACTGGGACAGAATCCGGTGCCCCAACTGGGACTGGAACCTGGGGTGCCGGCGCCGCAGGCGGAGGACTAGCCTAGTAAGCCGCAGCAACGGCCAATAAAAAACATCTTAAAAAAAAAAAAAAGGAAAGTTCATGAAAAATGTATAGTGTGAAAAAAACTGCATAGTTAAGAATTTTTTGGCACCAAAATAAGCTCATGTCTTATTTCCATTTTCCATGAAATTTTTGAAGTACTCACATGTCTCCACTGAATAGCACTGCTATATCTGCATTTTTTTTTTTAAACTACTTGAGGAGCGAGAGGGCAAAAAAGAGTGTGTGTGTGAGTGAGCGAGCCCAGCTACTACTGTTTCCTTCCCAAATGCCCACATCACCTCTGGCTGGGTCAGGGCTGGAGTCAGGAGGTGGGAATCAACTGAGGTGTCTCCTGTCCTTGAGCCTTCCTCCTCAGACATCTCTTCTCCTTGCTTCCAGACATTAACTCTATCTACTGCTGGGTCTTCTGGCACCGGCCCAGGCACAGCTACACTTAACTGTGGTCAGGGCTTTCAAGATACATATTAGCAAGAAGCTGGAATTGGAAGTGGAGCCGGGATCTGAACCCTGGTACTCTGCTATGAGGTATGGGCATCACAGGCAGCACTTTAACCACTGAACCAAATGCTTATCTCAAAAATCTGCATTTTGAACAAGGGTGATTCTGCATTAGGTATCCTCAGACCATGTTTTGAGAAACAATACACCAAACTGCAAGCTCTCCAGAACAAATGCTTTTATATATCCTTTTGTCCTCCATAGTACTCTGAATATTGTTAATTACATACTGATTGAATTTACATGCACTTAACATTCTGAACCATCAAATGTATCCCAAAATTTCATTAGAAGTTTTGTTTTTGTAACCCTTCCCCCACCAGCATGTTCCTAAATAATTCTTTTTGTATTTCTCCAATGGAACAAAAAACTTCAAACTACACCTCTGATTTGCTCCCAATTCAATAAAATAGTTTATTTTCTGAAAGAATTAGGACGTTTTCCCCACTATGGTTAGTTAACTTGATGTTATTTGACTAGATTCCAAAACTGATGAATGTCATCATACCCAGGTTTTCCATTTAAAACTAGTGATTAACACTACAGCAAGAACATACACTGAAGTTTACGTTAGTAACTGGGCTGGAGGAAGGACAAAAGAGATATAAGTGAGAAAGGGGTCTGTTAGGGGCAAATAACATGAGGCTGGCTGAGCGCGCTGGAAGAAGGGACATAAAACTGATGTTTTCTAAAGCTCATGTTAGGACACAGAATGTTGACTGCAATGACTGGGAGAAATAACTCAGAAACAACTCGGAGAGACTGTTTAGTTATCACTCTAAGGGTTTTCTTCACGTACCTCATTGCCACGTTGCTGCCGTCAATAACGATTGGTCTCAGATTTTCCCCATCATCTGCTACCACCTCTTGCACCGGAGATTCAGGCCTCTGAGACTCCAGGGAAGTTGTTTCTCTCGTTGTACTGGTAACTGTGCTAACTGTTTGATCTGTCTCGCTTTTATTTCCAAGCTTGACCAGTTCTCCCAAAATGTCATTGATTAAAGCATCGGTACCAAGTTTGTTTAGCACAAGCTGAACCTGTTCTTCAGAATAACCTAACTTAAGTGCAAACTCCAGCTTTGTTTGGTATTCTCGAACCACATCGGGGGGTTTCTTCACTTCCTTGGATGTAGTCTGGGACTCTTCAGGTTTAAACTCTTGCAAAATTTCATTGTGTTTGAGTATGTGAGGCTCTAAACAGGGAGACCTACACAGTTGTCGGTGAGTCTTGGTTAATAAGCATGGCTCTACTGAAATGCTTCCCAATTGTTCCGACTCATGATCAGAATTTGTGCTTTCCTCGGAGTCACCAGAGCTCACATTCTCCTCAGACACCTCTTTTTCCTCCTTCTCGGCACTAACTGTATCCATTGCTGGTTTTTCTAGCATTGGCCAGGGCACAACTGCACTTAACTGTGGGTCTGTGCTCTCCACATAAAGGTGGCCAAGGTCATTCCCCAGGTGATCCTTCAAGCCCATGAAGCTGTTCCGTGGTGTACTTGACTCCACTTTGCTGTGTTTTCTGTATTCCTGAATGCAAAGCACCCCGTACTCCTAAAGAAAAATGTAAAGTATTTAGAATTACATCCTTACTGTTGTATCTCTATTTCAATAAAGAAAACAAAAAAGAATTGCCAGACCACTGAATGCCCACTTTGTATTGTATCTACGTATTTTCATACCTCATAACACTTTTTTTAAAAAAAAGATTTATTTATTTGAAGTGCAGAGAAACACAGAGAGGGGAGAGAAAAAGGAGAGAGGAGAGAGGGAGGGAGAAGAAGGACGGGGGAGAGAGAAAGAAAGGTCTTCCATCTGTTGGTTCACTCCTCAAATGGCCTCAACAGCCAGGGCTGTGCCAGGCTGAAGACAGAAGCCAAGAGCTTCTTCCTGGTCTCCCACGTGGGTGCAGGGGCCCAAGCACTTTGGCCTTCTGCTGCTTTCCCAGGCACATTAGCGGGGATCAGGATCATAAGTGGAGCAGATGGGATTTGAACTGGCGCTTTATTGGATGCTGGCACTGCAAGCCGAGGCTCAACCTTCTACGCCACAGCATCAACCCCCAAAGGTCATAACATTTTTATTTTCTTTCCCCCAGAAACCTTTCATTTAAGGAATACAAACTTCATGCATTTCATAAGTACAAACTTTAGGAACATAGTGATTCTTCCCACTGTATCAGCCCTCCCACCTACACTCCCACCCATCTTCCTTTTCCCTCTCATATTCCCATTCTTATTTTTTACTAAGATCTATTTTCAATTAACTTTATATACAAATGATTAACTTTATACTAAGAGTTCAACAAATAGTATATTAAAAAAAAACTGTTCCTCAACAGTCAAGACACTCATAACATTTTTGCCAAGATAGTAGCATGCCCTATTTTTCAAATGAAGACTTTATGAATTTAGAAAGGCCGTAATTCCTCCAAGGTAATAAAGTGAAAAAGCAGTGGAACTTTTTTAATTTTATAGGTTTTGTCTGACTCTCAAATTCATGTTTTTTCTCACTATATCACACTGCTTCTCAAGTTTGAGCAAAGAGATTTTTCCACTTCTAGAAAGGCTTAGGTTTGTAAAGTGACACATGCAATATAGTCAAAACATATGTTTCAGTCATGTCATGACAGGTCATGTACATTTTCCCTAACAGAATTCATAATATTCTGTAGATACTCTAAAGAGAAACCCATGTAGAAACAAAGGAAAACATTAGCTTATCATACTTGAAAAACTACATTAACGTGAATGACGTTTAACAACTGTCTAAAGGAGTTCCCCAAACGACTAACACTGACATGAAAGAGCACATATTCTAAAATGGGCAACAAAGTGAATTCTATTTCATTTAGAGATGAACACAGCTTTGTCCTAATAATCATGATTTTGTGAACACTGAACATAGTAACAGACTGTACTTTTTAGTATTATGCTACCCTTAGTAAGTGGCAGGGACACTGAGGTTTCTTTCATTCCAGGAAAAATAAAAGTTCTTTTAATCTATGTTCATTTATAGAAAGGAAAGCAATTCAATATGTCAAATAACATTAACAGCAAACAATTAAATATATTAAATAATGTTATCTCAGTTTCTTGAATTTTATGGCAGAAAACACTTCAGTACCCCACTAGATTAATTAACCATTAATCTGCATTTGGTTAAAAAAACAACTTTTGTCCTATTTTTTTCATGCAGAAATATTTTTATGATTTAAATTGCAATTGCCATTTTACTATTTTTTCTTAAAGTTTATTGAAAATGATAGTTATTTCTCTACTAGAAATGGGTTAGAAAAATAAAAAGAAAGTTACTTTCTTTTGTGCTTCATTGTAAGGACTATGTCCACATCAGTGGTTTATCTATTAAGGAAATTGCAATATTCAACTCATGTATAACATTAACAAACCAGTGGTAGCTGAATGAGACTGTCATAAAACACCTACTTAAATCACCTAAAAAAGAAACTAGGAAAACATTTTATTCCGAAGCTCTTCAACATCACACAATATAAAAGAGTTATTATAAAAATGTTAAAAGGAAATGCTCAGTGATTTTCTGAGAAGACTCAAGTTTGAAAATATACCTGGTAACCTCTTTAAAGTATTTCTACATTAATGCAATAACTTTTATTAACTATGTTAGCTATGATAATAAAGAGAAGATAACATGTGCTCTTCAGCTTGACATCAATATACTTAAAATTCCTTCCATGTAGAACTCCTGTGCACTTCCACAGGGGTTTCTTCATGGTTTATTCCCTGAGAAGATAGTTAACTTTTAATAACGTTGCTCCATACTACAGCATTCATTAGTTTTAAGGAAACATCAGACTCTCCCAGCTCCTGATTGCTCAACTGACAAAAGGAAATATCCCTTTAAAAAGCTCTATATACATTTGCTTTTTTACGAAAATGTAGCTATTTCATTTTTCCTATTAATATAGATAGGCATGGGCCCAATTATTTAGAACAAGGGATTTTAAAAGCAAACCTTTACACTCTATGATTTATTAACTACTGTAATATACTAACGCCATAACACAAGTAACAAATCACAATAGCATTCTAATAAAGGGATACAGTTTAAAGAAAAATCCACATGATGGCCTTCCTAGAGCTCCCACCAAAAGTATCTTAAACAAGGCAAATCTATTGGAGGCTGGGCTGCCTGGCAACCAGAAGCTGGTTGCTAAGCTGCACTCCTTTAACATGCCATCATGAATGCTAACACAGTGAAAGAATAATTTGGTATGAACAAAAGCCTATAAAAGAGACTGGGACTTAAGTGCGTCTGGTTTACCCTCTGAGAACAATGCAGCTGCCAAACCAATCTGGAAGCTCCGACATCATTGTTCTGTAAACCCCACAATCTGCTCTGACTGCAGGAAGTGCATTTAATGGGGGACGTTTCTGATCTCCCCTGAAAAGTTTGGGTTTTGCATAAGTGCTGTTGTGAGATAATTCTTCAAGATAATGACTTGCTGACCAAATCCCTGCATTGGGCTAGGAAATATTATTTTAATATTGAGTGGAAGAGCTTTCTTTCTTTTCTTTTTTTTTGGTTCTGGACTATATCAGATGAGATGCACACCTTATTAAAAAGACAGCCAACAGGGGACATTAAAATGAAATTTTTTGTTTAAAGGCTAGGTGAAATTACTTTTAACATTTCCACTTTTTCCAAGAAACAAAAACCAGATACCAAGAAGTTTTTAAAGTGAAACTTAACCACTCTGGAAAAAAAGTATTTAAACTTTCTACATTGTCTTCAATTTAAAGTTTTTATATAAAGTGTCAAAGGTACTACCTAAATCTATAATATATAGTTTATTATATGACAATACTAAAAAGGCAGAAAAATGGGTTTATCAATTGCTTGTTACTTTATAATATTGAACCAAATGAAACTCATTTGTGTATCAATGTATTTAATGATTGTCACATACCTTTAACTTGTGATAACTCAATGTAATTTGTATATAACACTCAGGTAAAAAGTTTGCAATAATTATATTCATTTTTAATGCTTAGGAAAATGTACACTTGAACTAATTTTTAAAATTAACACTTTGTTAGACAACATAATTTTTGTTTCAAAATATTCTGGTTAGACATTTTCTCACAATGACAGGCCTCTCTTCATCCTGTGGATTTCATTGGTTAGTTCAGAGAAAGTGATCCTATGTCATCAAGGCCTAACTAAGCAGTAAAATGATTTTTAGTTTCTATAGAGTAAGAGACTAAATATGAAATAATACAAACAATGATGAATGAGTTCAATTTCTAGGACTAACATATAACAGAAATCTAAAATGACCTGATTTGTACTAATCCATATACTGTAAAGATTTGATTCTATGTAATCATGTGTAATCAGCAAAAGGCTCCTAAGATTTAATAGGGCATTTAAAAGCCACCCAGAAATTGGCAATATTCTGAAATCATTCAACAAAAATTAAATACTAAAGTATTATTTTCAAAGCCTCATGGAATATTTGTTCATGTAATGGAATGTAAAAATCTTATAAGGAGTCACTGTAAGAAACTTTAGAACAAAGAATGGCATATAAGATTTATTTCTGCTCAGTGTAAGATAAAAAGAACACAATATCACAACACGTATCAGTACATGTAAGGCAGAAACTTCCTTTCTCCTTATTTCTAAACAAGTATCAGACTTAAGTTTTACCTTCACTGAAACGCAAACATATAAATCATCTTATGTTTAACCAACTAAATATTAGCTAATCAGAGTAATATTTCTCAAGAAGCAGCAGCATGGTTCTATACACAAAGATTAGTTTATACTTTATGAAGTTTATAGTTTTATAGTTACAGTTTTATAAACTTTATATTTTTTATAGTTACAATAAACTTTCAAGAAATATGGCTTATGTTTTAAATTTTATGTTGGAGATACATTATAATTACCCTTCACTTACTCTATTAATGAACACAAACAATGGTAGGCAAAAATATGATGATCTAAAAACAGATTTCCACAGTTAGTAAGTCTGTAGATGTCCCTCAGATACTTCATTGGAAACTCTGTTTTTCTCTCTAAAGGCAAGATAAAAATTAAATAATACTATCTGTTGGAAAACAACTACATTGTCATGTTAATCTTCTAGATGAAGTCTCATTATTTAAGTTTCTATAAAGACACTTTATATTAGCTGGGTGCAAGTTTATGATATAACGACTGTTTACTAGAAACATATCACATTCTCAGAAATTCTTTCACTTAGTGAAGAGACTTTTCTGAAAGTTTTCATTAGATAACTTGGATACTCCTTCATCTCACATCAAGCCAAAACAATTTCTTTTTTATATTTAAAACAGCCTCAGATTAATCAGGAATATTAGACCATAAACATGGTATACCAATTTATTTGTTTGTAATGTAAAGTTACAATGCCATGAAAGAGGGTTCTGGTTGTTATCCAAATGGTAATACTATGAGAACAATGGAAATGAAATAATGAATATGTAATAAATACCTACTGCTGTAGTCGCTGTGTGTTTAATTACCATTGTATTTGAGTGAGTGCT